CTCCTCGTATGATTAGTTGGACGTCGGCCCCTCCCCAGGCTCGGTTCCTTGTTCCTTGAGTCCGTTGGTTCCCTCCTGTTCGTGGGTGCTCTTTGCAGTTTTTTCACCTCTCTTCTTGGGACGGGACTTCCCTGTCATGTTCCCCTTTTCTTTTTGGAGGTTCTGCATGACTTTTGGTCTTGGGTGCGAGTGTGCTTTTATGAGCCTTCGTGGTTTCTGCTTGTTTGTGGGTGTTCTCGAAGGTTCATGAAGATTTTCGCTACTTCCCGTATTGTTGGAACGTCTGGTGTCTTTCAGTGTGGCTTCCCTCCGGTCTTTTCAGGGCTTGTTGGTTCCCTTCCAGGTTTATTCTGGGTTTTCGGTCCTGTCTCGCTCTTTTGTTTCTGTGTTTATCTCTGTCCTTGGTCTCGGCACTGTTCGTTTTCTTTACATACTTCTTATCCGGGGTGCCTGTTTGGGGTACTTGTAGCCCAATTGGGTTGCTAGTTCGTTCCTTGTCTTCCTCACATTCACCAGATATGTATGCCGCTGCTTCCTGTTTTCACTCCTGGTCCCGTCCGCTGGGCTGTTTCTGCCCCTGCGCCCATCCCTCGGGTCACAGGCTGTTTATGCTACTTGTGCAGTAGTCCTTTTGGGCACCTTCCCGCCAAGCGGGTTGTGCGCGTGCGCTGTGGGAGTTTGTTTTGGTCTGGGTGGTGTGCACGAGCGCTCGTGTTTTGCGGCCTTTTCTCTCGGGTGCTTCGCCTCTCGTTCTTCTCGCTTCATCAGTCCTTACCCCGTAGCTACTGGGGTGTTCTGGGTTGCAGTTATGGAGCAGACGCTGGGGTTTTCCCCGTGTTATGGGTGTGGGGTGCCTCTTTTGCCTCTCCCCTCCCCTTCTGCTTGTGCAACTCGGGGCTTCTTCTCCTGACGGTGCTCCCGGCATCTTCTCGGCTACGTTGTGTCGTAACACGTTCGTGCCTCCGTTCTGCAGGTGAGTTTATGTGATCTGGTGTCTTTCAGCCAGGCGTCGATCCGTGGTTTTTGGCGGGTGAACGTGAGAATGGCAGGACACAGGTGCCTGCAGGGGGTTTCTTGGCCCATGCTGGGACAGCTCCTCATTGTACCCATCCAGTACCACTCGTATGCATGTCCGACCCATGCTTGAGTTAGTCCCGGGGCCCCACTTCCACAGGTTATGTGGTACGGTGGTGGTGGTGACTGTTATGAGGTACAGTTGTCCTGTGTTTGGATGTTATGAGGTGCCATTTTGATTCGGTTTTGTTACCGAGGGCGAGTGTTGGGGTTTGGTTGTGGCGTTTTGTTTGGCCCTTGCGTGTTTTCCTCCTGGGGCCTTGTGTGTTTGTCTGTGCTAATTGTTAAGCTTGTCTTCTCTGGGTCACTCATTCCTTGCCTGCCTTGCAGTACCTGGCTTAGCCCTTCCAGGTTTGTTGTCTTCTCTGTACTCCCCTGGTTGTCCTCACCTCGTTGTGCTTGAGGGGTTGTGCTTTTCGCTCTTTCGTCCTGCTCCTCTGTCGCTCACCTGCCATATGCGTGGCTTCTGTGCTTACCTTGTTGTGCTCGCCTAGTTGTGTTTACGGGAGTTGCATTCAGGTTTTTTTGTCTCTCCTCTCGCCTGTCATTCCATTCGACTTCTATGCTGCTTCCTGAGCCTGTTGGGCTCTGTCGTCTCTCTATTTGACGCTGTGGGGGGGGGGGGGGGTTGGCCTCCAGCTCATCCCTTCCTCCTGCTTTCTATTTGTCTCCTCTTCCTGACACTAGTCCTCTGTGGTCTCTCCTGCTCTTTGGGCATCTGTTCCTCCTGTGTCCCCTGGGACATCTTTATCTACCCTCTCCTTCCACCGAGGGGTTTTGCTTGCTGTAGTGTTGTTCTTTCTGGTTCTTCTGTCTCCCAATGTCGTGCAGCTTCCTTCTCATCGTCTGCTTGATGGGGTTTTGGGAGTTCTTCTCCCCAAGCCCGGCCCGTGGTTGGGCTTGACTTGTGGGAGTTGGTCCACCGGGCTGTTGCTTGCTGCGGCCCGTGGGCCCGCGTACCCACCACAGCCCAGTTGGTCCAGCACTCCTTGGAGACGGCTTTCTAGTTTTTTATTGTGGATGTCCATGGTTGCATTGGCAGTTGGTGCTGTGCCTTTTGGCTCCGATTGCCAAGTTTGGTTTTCTGGTTCCTGGCTTTCCCTGCCTGTTGGCTTTTTCTGCGTCTCGCGGGTTCCTTTTCCTAGGGACTCAGTCAGGGCCGTGGTCTCAGACCTCCTGGCGTGCTCGCTGGTGTTGGGACTTTTTGTCCGGCAGACGTTCCACCTCCTTCTTTGTCAGCTCGGTTTTCCGGCTCTTCCTGCTCGGTGATCGCACCTGAGATCTTCCCGCGGCTCCGCCTCTTCTCTGCTCGTTTGGTCCATGGCAGGGCTGGTTCGGCTCTGCCTCGGGTCTCTCACTTTCTGTTGGTCTGGTGGCTTCGTTGATGGTGTCCCACCTGCGTTCTTTTTCTTGGCGGCAGTGTGGGGGATTTTGGCGGTCCTTCCTTTTTCCTTCTGTCCCTTCTTCAGTTCTGTGTTTTGTTGGCGTGGTCTTGTCCTTCTCTTTTGGGGGTTCGGGGCTGTCATTTGCCACATACTGTCGCCTCATATTGTGCGGCGTTGGCGGAGCTGCTTCAGCTTGCTTTCGGTATTGAGGTTACTTCTGCTCCATTTAGCATGCTGTCTCGGATGTTGTTTCACCTCCGGCCTGCTCATGCGCCACCTGAACGGTCCTGGTCATTGGACAGAGTGCTCTTATCTTCTCCTCGGTTTGTTGTGGCCCCTTCGGTTCTGGTTTGTTCCTCCTAGGCTCTTTTTCTGTTGGCCTTGGCCTCTGGGGGTCGGGTTGGTAACCTTCCTCCTCTCCTCCGGCGGAGGGGAAGTAGCAGAAAACTCCTGCGCCTTTAATCATGGCGATGGGGTTGTTCATTGCGGCAATCTCCTTCTTTTTGGCGGAGAATGAGATGGCTGCTTTCCGGAGGGGTCTTTGGGTTGTTGATGCTTGGTTGTTTTGGCCAGGGGTGCATCCTGTTTGGTGTCCGGTGGCGGCCCTCCACCGTTCATTGCGCGCCACGGCTTCTGTGTCCTGGGTCGCGCTGTGGGTTGATCCGGTTTCCTAACTTCCCTGTTTTGCGGGTGCGGGGCTCTCGGTTTGTCTGCAGGATTATTACAGCTAGCCAGCCTGGGGTCTCTTCCCGTGTCCATGTTCGCAAGTTCGTGGCTCTTGCCTCTGTTTTTGACAACATGTCTTGAGCTGTCATTCGGGCGCGGATTTTTCGCGGTCAAGCAGGGTCCAGGCTGCTCGTTATCTAGTGCACGTTCCTGGGCCTAGTCGGATCTGTGTCGCTTTAGATCGGCAGTTGCAGCCGTTTGTCTCGACTTGGAGTTGAGGAGTGAGCGGCGACTGCCCCCCGGGTAGGTCCCTTTACTTTTCTCTGTAGGGAGTTAGCTCCAGGGAGCTGAAGAAGCTCCCCCCAGAAAACCAGCGTTGAATGTAATGAAACGCCATTTTCTGGGTGAGTCCCGGAGGCTCCTCGGCATCCCTCCCTCCCTCCGGTCAGTGGGTTTTTCACGTTTTTTGACATTCAGCCTCAGAACTGGAGGTGGATAGCGGGCGTGATGGGTCTGGGGCTTCCCCCTTCCCCCTCCCGGGGAGGGGGGAACTGCGCGGACAGTGGCGAGGCGACGTGTGACGTCATGATTGTTTGCTCCTTTATTTTAGGGGAGTTCTATCCACTTGTTCGGCTTGTGGTAGCAATTTTCGCCAGAATAGGGGTTTGTTTTGGGACACTTACCTTTCTGGGTGCCTGACCCGGTCGATGGTAGACATAGAATGCTTCCAACCACACGGGGGTTTCTATAGGTCATTGCTCAGCTTGCCTCTCTGAGGGGGCCAGGTTCTGGCTTGTGGTCTCCAGTAGGCCCATAGAACTCCATACACATGACTGATGCCAAAGTTTGACATTAGCATATCAGCCTGGATAAGCTCCGAGGAGCCTCCGGGTCTCGCCCAGAAAATAGCGTTTCATTACATTCAACGCTTGTTTTTCAATATTCAATTTTTATAATTATTTTTTATATTCTTGTTTTTCAAGTTACACTGGTATCATTTAGGCAAAGTTGGAGCATTTGCCTAGAAGATTATTCACAAAATATTTGAAAGAGTTTCAGAAAATTTTAAAAACTGACCCGGTCGATGGTAGACATAGAATGCTTCCAACCACACGGGGGTTTCTATAGGTCATTGCTCAGCTTGCCTCTCTGAGGGGGCCAGGTTCTGGCTTGTGGTCTCCAGTAGGCCCATAGAACTCCATACACATGACTGATGCCAAAGTTTGACATTAGCATATCAGCCTGGATAAGCTCCGAGGAGCCTCCGGGTCTCGCCCAGAAAATAGCGTTTCATTACATTCAACGCTTGTTTTTCAATATTCAATTTTTATAATTATTTTTTATATTCTTGTTTTTCAAGTTACACTGGTATCATTTAGGCAAAGTTGGAGCATTTGCCTAGAAGATTATTCACAAAATATTTGAAAGAGTTTCAGAAAATTTTAAAAACTGAGTTCAATGTCACACATTATATGAGGTTTTGTACAGTTTAAGGGTTAATGTATGTGAAGCTGTTTGACACTTTCGGGTTGGTATTTCAGATTTGTTGTCTGATGTTGTAAGTTGACATATTACAAAGATAATATTTTAGAAACTAGTTGGTGGATAGATATTGAAAATTGGGATTATTGTCAGAGTTATAATTCCACCTAGTACAATTATGACCCCTGCAGGAATGCTTGAAAATTACCTTGTGGCTCTGGGCATATGCATAATTTTCTCCCCATTTGACAGCTGAATTGAACTTTGAGGAGTAAGCAAGTGAGTCTTCTCAGAAAGACACTTAGAGTAAATAAGGTTCTGTAAAAGTGCACAATAGCAACTATTTTTACTAATATGTGTCCAGCACCATTTTAACTTGTGTGTCTTTTAAAGGCACTTCTATTTGTCGAATATCCATCCCATCTGGAGTGGCTGCTTTGGCCAAGAGGACTCCCGTGCTCACACAATTGAGAATGTCATCCAATACCTAAAGAAAATAGGTGTGCTTGAGTATAAAAGGTATGTACTAATTGTTTCTTTTTCTGGCCTTAATAGATACTAAAATGTCATTTGACATTATTATAATAGATGAGAAAATACTAGAGAGTAATCAGTGCTGTGGGAGGTACTGTACATAATATCAGAGTTTAGAGAATATGGACAGTTTTATATATTTGTTATTCATTTTTGTAATATGGCAAAGCTCAGTTTATTGCTCATGTAGGCCTTTAAATTTCCATTCTGTTTTGCTCTTAAATTCAATGTAGCTCGTTATTCAGTCTCTTCAGGTGACAAATTTATTATTATTTAATATTTAGTACGTCTTATCAATTTGGAGGGTGAGTTTGTTAGTTGTCAACTACATGTGTATCTTCTTTAAATTCAATATTTACTGTGTTACTTAAGAAGATGAAGGTTGTATCATCAGCACTCAGTATTAGCTTTGGTTGTTGGGTGTTATTTTATAGGTCATTGATGTTTATTAGAAAGATGATAGATTACTGTGGATTTGAAGAAAGAGACACATTCTGGCAACGATTAGTTGCTCCTTTCATGTTTTTCTGAGCTTACATAATCAGATATATAAACTACCATAATATCAATATTGATCTAATCTTCCTCTACAGTGGTGTGCCAACCTCACTTGAGAAAAGTGGTCAGCAGTGGGATTTTCCTAATGCATGGGCACCTCTGCAGCACTTAATCATTATGGGGCTGTATGAAGCTCGGTCTATCCATCATGAAGCTGATAGTTTGTCCTTCAAATTGGCTGAGAAATGGATTAGAACTAATTGGGAAGCATACCAGCAGTCAGATCCTCATGCCATGTTTGAGAAGGTAGGCATTAATGAGATGCATGAAATCAGTATCATACATTTAAAAATGATTATACTATTTATTTAACAGAGGAAAAATACAAATCTCTTGCTTCAACAGGGCATTGGTATCATTTACTGGTTAGTTGGTTATTGAAACATTTATCAAGTAAATATTTCAAACATATTTATTTTTCTGTGTGGAGCCTCATCGGCTCCCTGAAGCTATCGTCACTGATTATATGCCATACTACCTAGTGTCATCAGTTGCAGAGTTCTTTTTTGCCTACTGAAGACCATGAGACAGAACGTGTTCCCCTCAGAGAGGTGCAGGTAGCAATGGCCTATGATCACTTTACATTTAAAGGTTATCATCTTCTCCATCACCAGGAAAGCATCCAGAAAGATAGGCTAACCAAAACAAAGCACTTCATGGTTTAAAAATGAGACCAAAAGCCCCCAAAAATGTCAAAGAACTCACAAAAATAAAAGAAACAACCAAAACTTTGTGAAACTAACCCTCCACTAGTTAGCTCCATCTTCTTCCTCATTGTGGGAGGGGAAAAGCCGGCCTGGGAAGGCAGGGTCAACCAGCTTCAGTTATTTACTGATGTGCTTACCTTGCAGTCGCATATTGCTTTGCTTCTCTGTCCCATTTTTCAGTGGTGCTTTCTTGTCTTTTTGGCAGTGTTTTGCACGGAAGTATGCATGAGCCTGGAGTTACAGTGTACCGGAGCTGCATGAGCTCAGGGTTTTCTTCCCTTTGCACTTTGCAAGTACTACCCTTGTGTGGTCAAGGTTCTTTTCCCTGGGGCATTCAAGGGAACACTTCCATTAAGGGGCTTCCTCACTTGGGGTGGTCTTCTCCTTTATGGTGTGCTAGGGATCTTGCACTTTGTCTTACCAGGGGTTTGGGAGTGTTTTTGGCCGGTGGAGTGCATCGTGGTTGACACAGTTTTCACATTACTAAGCTGCATTTGGGCACAATGATGTTTCTCCCAGGCTGCTTGTTGGCCGCGGTTTAGTCTTGCGAGTTTTATGTTATTTTCTGTGGTGAGTCTTGTCAGCTCCCTGAAGCTATCTGAACTGATATGTGCTATAGTAGTTTGGGGTTGTCAGTCACAGGAGTCCTTATGCCTACCGAGGACCATGAGCCAGAACCTGGGCCCCTCAGAAAAGCACAGGGAGCAATGGCCTATGAGCACTTTACATTTAAAGTATGTCATAATTGCCATTGACCAGGGTAAAGAAAGATAAGACTTACCTTACCTTTACCTTAACCCTTAAGTTGCGCAACACATCATATGATGGGTTGAGTGACTTGCTATAAATTGCGCATCCCATCATATGATGTATTGGAGTACTACACAAGATTTAAACGGCCCGCGGATACACGGGGTTCACCTCACCTTCATCAGGGCTCTTGTAAACAGATTCCATTTTTTTTTAAATCATGGGTGAAATTCCCAGGTGTGAGGGCCTCAGTATTGAGTGAGCCACCAAGCCTGACACACGCAGCATGAGCTTACAGCACTGCTGTTCAGCTTGTGACCACAGCATCGCCTAAAAATGCCATAATAATTCAAATTCAAATTCAAATGTTTTTTCAGGTAAAGTACATACATACAAGGGGTGATACAAATATTGATGAATTTATAAATAGAGCTAGTACATACAATACAATGAACAATATACATGTTCATGCTATTATTTAGCAATGATATTATTACAGAAGACCCCTGACTGTGATAAAAATGACCAGAATTCTGATAATAGCAGGATTGTTGTGATTCTAAATATATAAAAAAATGTTTCAAAAACTGTTGGCATTCTTTCTAAGATCAGATATTATGTACCCCGCCCTGCCCTGGTGACGCTCTATTACTCCCTCATCTATCCATATCTCAACTATGGTATTTGTGCTTGGGGTTCTACTACCCAAAATCATTTACGTCCTCTAATTACTTAACACAAAGCTGCTATTAGGACAATATCCAACTCTAGCCCCAGACATCACTCGGTACCCCTACTCAAATCTCTGAATATGTTAGACATTAAGTCACTGCACATTCTCTCATGTGTATTATAAATATATAAAATGCTGAACTGTAATGCCAATCCTGACCTCAAAAGCTTCATTGAAGGTTGTAACAGAACCCATGAGCACCACACCAGAAACAAATACAGTTTTGATATTCCAAGAGTACGACTTAATCAAACTAGAAATGCTCTACAAATCAAGGGACCCAGAATGTGGAATGACCTTCCCAATCATGTTAAAGACTGTACCTCTCTCAACCAATTTAAGATAAAAACAAAGCACTACCTAATAAATTCCCGGTAACCTACCTTACCCCTGTATTGTCAACCCATGTCTTTTTTTTTTAAGCACCGCCGTTTGTCGACCTAATTATATTTGTGCTGCTTTTTCAGCCATGTTCCCCCCTTTCTTATTTTTATTTTTATTTGTTCTCAACACATTTTATACTTTAAACTCAATTAGTATTAAGTTTTAGTCTTAAATGTTTTTCCTGCCCGAAACGCTTTGCGTAATAGTGGCTTTAGGCATTGTATGTACTAGCTCTATCTATAAGCCTAGCAATTTTTGTAAAAATCTCTTGTATGTATGTACCTTACCTGAATAAACATTTATTTATTTATTTATTAATAATTAGTGCTGTAGTGGGAGGGGAGTAATCTTGGTGTGGAAGGAGGGAGATAGAATTTTCTGCTGACTCTGTGTGACCACCTTTTACTGTCTGGACTCACTATACCAGCTTAGTTATTTGTTATGGTAAACAAAACATGTAGATACTTATATAACGTCTGTATATAAAAGCAAATACAGTATGGTGGGAAGAGAATGGTGGCGAGTCAGGTGAGGTGAGGGAGAGAGGGAGTGGCAGCTAGTGGGGGGCTGCCACTGCCACTCAGCATACCAACTTAGTGGTTTGTTATGGTGAACACGAATGTAGATACTTATATATAATATGTATATACAGTGTAATAACAGCAAAAGGAGTTGGGGGAGAAGCCATTTTGGTGATGGGTGTGGCAACATCTGCATAATTTGTCATGTTGGTAGGGGTGGCCACTATGCTCTTTGGGCATTATACCGGCTTAGTTGAACAGTTATGGTGAACAAAACATGTAGATACTTATATATAACGTCTGTGTATAGGATATATATATATATATATATAACGTCTGGATATATTATATATAACGTTGTTTCTGATATCCTGGCGGGCTTGCTCGCATTGGGGAGCTTTCTGTTCGGCAGACGTTCCATCTTCTTATTTGCCGGCTTGGGTTTCTTTGGTGGTCGCGCCCGAGATCTTCCCGCGGCTCCGCCTCTTCCTGGGCTTGGTTGAGCCTTGTAGGGGTTGATTACGTTCTGCCTTGTGTGTCTCGCCTCCGGTTGGTGGTCTGGTGGCTTCGTTGTTGGTGTCCCACCTGTGTGCTTCTTCTTGGCGGCAGTATGGGGTATTTTGGCGGTCCTTCCTTTTCCTCCTGTCCCTTCTTAGGTGGCTGCGGTTGTTAGCGTCGGCTTTGTTTTTCTGGTGGGGGTTGGGAGCCGTCGTCTTGCCACATACTGTCGCCTCGTTTCGAGTGGCGCTGGTGGAGCCACTTCGGCTTGCTTTTGGTCTTGGTGTTGCTTCTGCATCATTAGTACGCTGTCTTGTGCATTGTTTCACGTCCGGCCTGTTCATGCGCTGCTTGCACCGTCCTGGTCTCTGGTCAGCGTGCTCTGCCTTTTCCTTGGTTGGTGGTGCCCCTTTGGTTCAGGTTTGTTTCTCGACAGCTCTTTTTCCTGTTGGCATTGCCTCTGGGGGTCGGATCGCTGGGCTGGTTTCTGCTCCTTCGGTCTTGGCATTTTGGTTGTTTGGTGGCAGCCCTCTCCATCTTTTCTGGCGCGGGATGGGGCTGCTGCGTTCCGGAGGGTTCCTTGGTTTGTTGGTGCTTGGTTGGTCTGGCCGGGGGTGCGTCGTGTTTTGTGTTCAGTGGCGGCCCTCTGCTGTTATTTGCGTGCTGTGGCCTCTATGTCCGGGGTGCGCTTTGAGTTGATCCGGTTCCGTTCTTCCCTGTTCGTGGGTGAAGGTGTCCCGGGTTGTCCGCCGTGTTATTGCGGCTAGCCTGCCTGTGTTCTTTCCCCGTGCCGATGGCGTTCATGGCTTCGCTGCTCTTGCTGCCATCTTGGCGGCGTGTCATTGCTGTCATTCGGGCACGGATCTTTAGGTGTTCATACAGGGGGGCCTAGCTGCTCGTTGTCTCGTGTTGTTCCCGGGCCCTTTCGGGGCTGTGTCGCCTTGGGTTGGCGTTTGCAGCCAGTTATCTTGCATCCATTGAGGGGTGCGTGGTGAGGGGTGAGTGGTGACCGCCTCCCGGTTCCATCCTTTTGACCTTCCTCTGTGGGTAGTTAACTACTGGAAAGCCGATGGGGCTCCCCCCAGAAAACCAGTGTTGAATGTGATGAAACGCCATTTTCTGGGTGAGACCCAGCAACCCTCCCTCCCTCCGATCGGCGTTTTTTTTGCGTGTTTTGACATCCAGCCTCAGAATTGATGGGTGGATAGCCAGCGTGAGAGGTCTGGGGCTCCCCCTTCCCTCTCCCGGGGAGGGGGGAGCTGCGCAGACAGCGGCGTGGTGACATGTGACATCATACTAGTTTGCTTATTTTCTGTTGGGGAGTTCTATCCACAAGTTTGGCTTTTGATAGCAGTTTTAACCAGAATAGGGGTTTGTTTTGGAATGCTTACCTTTCTGGATGCTTGACCCGGTCGATGGCAGACATAGAATGCTTCCAACCACACGGGGGTTTCTATAGGCCATTGCTCCTCTTGCCTCTCTGAGGGGGCCAGGTTCTGGCCGTGGTCCCCGGTAGGCCCTAGAACTCCATACACATTACTGATGCCAAAGTTTGACATTAGCATTTCAGCCTGGTATAGCTCCAGGGAGCCTCCGGGTCTCACCCAGAAAATGGCGTTTCATTACATTCAACGCTGGTTTTTTTATGTAAGA